GCCGTCATCCGGGTCGATGGTCATCGACCACAACGCCCCTGCTACCAAACAGTTCATGGAGCAGAGGGCTACATATCAAACCGCTGAGTACAAGGCGGTACAGAGTGCTTTTTTCGGGCCGCCTCGCATCAAGAGAGCAGCCCCGACGCCGGCACAAAGCGGTTTGACCACACCGCAGGAGGGCACCACCATGGAAGATGAGGTCATGGAGGAGGCGCGGGAGTTCGCAGAACCGGAGCCTGATAGGCAGCTTTTGGCGCCGTTTTCTCTCCAAGACCAAGCCGCTCTTGCAGTTACACTGGGAAGTTTGGGCGTTAACATCAACGACNNGCATATCATGAAAAAGTTATTCGTCCGGAATACTACTCACTGGTGTGCCAGCTGGAAGCCGGTCTGAAAGCAGTGGACGATCGGTGCTTTGAGGTTCGCAAGCAACTGTCCTGGATGTCGGCAGAAAATAGGTTGAGCCAAAAGCACGCGTGCGGATTGCAGCTGCTCACAACTGGGTGGCCGAATGCTATGACGCCAGCGGACCGAGTGTACATGATTTCTTGGATGGTTTCGCAGGTCCCTGCTTTGGTGACGTTCCTCAAGCAGCGTGGGTATGTCTCAGACCACAACGCCGCGGAGCTGGAACGGCACATGAACGTCTTCTCCCAGGAGCCCACCACGGTGCCGCAGAGTGAGGGCTTCTACTCGACCATGACGCTTTTGACTTTCAAAAGCTGGGATTGTAGATCTTCTTTTTTAAACCACTACGGTGGAAGCTCCGGAGTGCCCGTCTATAAGGACGAGGCCACTCCAATTCACAACAAGCATGTCAAGGTTGCCCCGTGTAGCCCCCAGTGGCAAAGAAAGCTCGAAGCTCCTTTGAGAGTAATTTTGGGATGTGTGAACAAGCATCCCGACCATAACGCCACCTCCCGTCTCACGATTCTGTGGAAAACGCTCACTTTAATGGCGCCACAGCAGGATGGTGAGTTTCATGAAGACGCAAAGGCTTGGGCCCGTCTTCACTACGGCCAGGAAGGCGGCAGGTTTGTAGGTCGTTTGGAGGTGGTGCAGGAGCTTTTTTCGATCATGCAAGGGCAACCTACGGAGGTCGATGCACAGACCACATCGCTTTGGGACGAACAATGGTTCCAAACGCTGTGGGGAAATCACTTGGAGCTCGACCAAGCCGATGCCGCTGCGTTTGCCGCAGCTAAACACACCGCCGCCTCTTCTGGGAAGGGCCTCCAGAAGGGGAAGGGTAAAAGGCATTGGTCGAGTGTAGCGGTTCATTCGGATTCGTATGAGCCGTTCCCTTTTGATTTAAATGTGCTGGTGGTGGAGGCTGTATATTTTTCTTGGGATGAGTATTGCGATAAGTTCCGAAAGGAGGATCGCAAGATCGGCGACTACTCGGTTGCCACGGTAGTTGGCCGGCCTCCTGTGGGAGTGGGAGATGATCTCCGCTCAGACCACACCGCCTCGGCACAATCTTCCACAGCTGCTCCTAAAGCGCCCGCTGTTGCAGCCAAAGGCGGCAAGGAAGGAAAGGGAGCTAGCTGAGGGTTTGGCTTCCGAAGTTTCGTGGCCCCGGCCTGCTCACAACGCCTAAGCACAGTGGCGGTTGGGCGTGGCCTTTCTTGCGGAGAGCTTGCAGCACCCTTTGAATTTTTTGAGTGCTCGCCTCTGCCTTTAAATCGGGCTTCGTGGTACTTTGGGAAAATCCCGGAGGACCACACCGCCCCAGGAAGTAGATTTTTGTTTCTTTCGGGTCTCGATTACACCGCCCTCGGCGACGGTAGGTTGCCGGCAGTGCCTCAGCTTAGCTTTCAAGTGGCCGCTAAAACCAGGAATAAGAGAATGCACGCCCTGAACGGTAACACAGTGCTACGCCTGCAAGACCACATCCCGAGCCCCACTAGGACCCCCATCAACTTAGAACAGTTGCTAGGTTACTCCAAAGAGGGACCCGAAGAGCCAGTCTACAGCCGCAGCCGCATGTTGCAGTATAGGTGCCGCGAAAAAGATTCCGCAGTTTTGCCAGTGGCCGCTTCGATCACAACGCCAGCTCTCACCCCCTTTTCTCCTTCCCCAACAAACCCACACTTAGGACGAACAGGGCGAAGACACAAATATAGAAATCAACATGGAGTTATTTGTTTCACAAAGAAACCTAGACCACACCTTAAGGGTGCTGTAATTAAGGAATTCACAAATTCAAACACATGCCGTAAACCGCCTCCACGAGGCGCGCCGGGACCCCCGCGGGGGGACGAAGAGTTTGACCCAGCCCGGGTGAGGACCACAGCGCACGCGGGGGGTTCAGCAAGGGCGCGGCGCCGCAGGGCGTATCGCCGCTGGATCCGCGGGTGCACCAAGGAGCGGGTGAAGAAGCCGGGCCCTTCCCACCCTGTCCCACCCAAGCCCAAACAAGCCGCCCGTACCAGGGCCCAATGGTTCAAGAACACGCTTCATTGGCAGGACCAGATGAAGCGAAACAGGAAGCGAAAGTCGGTAAATTACCCGACCACACCGCCGCTACCATATGGTAATAAGATGAAGGTAGGTTCTCTCAATGTGCAGGGTTTTGCGGACACCCTCAAGCTTAAGAACGCCCTTCAAATAATGGAGGAACATCATCTTGACGTTCTAATGCTTTCGGAGACTAGAACCACATCTTATTACTCCTATCAGTCTGAAAAGCACTTAGTGATTCTGTCTGGTAGTCAAAAGGACAAATATGCAGGAGTAGGAGCCATCATCGCACCAAGAGTTCGACCACACCTCTTAGATGTGATTCAAGATTCTACCAGATTACTGCATCTTGTTTTTAAGCAACGGGGTGGTAACATGCACATTGTCGGGGCGTACGCCCCACATTCAGGGCTTGATTATGAAGAGGTTAGAGCACCATTTTGGGATAGCCTCGAGGAACGAATCGCCAAAATCCCGCAGCCAGAGCCAGTATACTTGGTAGGAGATTTCAATGTTAGGTTCCAGGCTCAACACAAACATGACGAAGGCGTCACAGGACCCCACACGTACGGTAAAGGAACCAAGTACATTGACCACAACGCGCAATCAAACCGCTCATTGTGCGTGAGAACAATGCAGCTACTAGGAATGGTAGAGGCAGCTTCATGGATCACACCCAACCCTATACACCATATCACATTCAAGGATAAGGCTGCACCACCACCAGATTGGTCACAATTTGTCTTAGACCCCATTCCCATGCAACAACTATACTCCCACATCGAAAGCCAGGTACAGGACTTGGACTTAGCTTTGTCGGTGTCCGCGGCTGTTAGATCTTTTTTGGAATTGCCAGAACTTCTCGCGCCGCCCAAGACCACACCGCAAGTAGATCCAGTTAGGTTTCAGCGTTTGGATCATTTGTTTGTTAGGAAGCAATGGCTTAATTCGGTTCATCAGTGTCGTTCCAAGCTTTATACGGGATTCCCTACGGACCATTACCTTGTGGTTTCTCATTTGCAGGTCAGGTTGGCTGCAAAGCCCCCCAAAAAACCACGAGCTCCCCAATTAGACCTGAAGCAACCCACAGAACAACAAAGAAAGGAATACAACGAGATTTTTCGAGAAGTTGTACAGGAACAACCCCCATCACCAAACTTTACTCCCCTTGACCACAACGCCACAGCCCATTACTACACCGATGGTTCAGGCTCCTCAGGACGCTGTCATAAACACACAGCGGCAGGATGGGGTTGGTGTAGCTTACAAGACGGTCGCTGGGTGGATGCTTACGGACCAGTAGTGACCGACCAAGACCACAACGCGTACAGGGGAGCCACCGTTGGTTCCAACAACACGGGGGAAGTCACAGCGATAGTGGAAGCCCTTTTGCACGCGCATCAGCACGCCTTCCAACAAGTTCATATCCACACGGATAGCCAGTGGGCAAAAAATGTAATCACTGGGCAATGGCGTGCCCAACGTAACAAACAGCTGGTGGGTACAGCAAAGCAGCTTACACGAATCAAACCCATGAAAGTATTCTTTCACTGGGTAAAGGCACATAGAGGCAATGAGGGCAACGAAAGGGCAGATGCTCTCGCCAACAAAGGCAGGGACTCCACACAGCGAACAGGGACCACAGCCCAGCCTATGGAACAGGCCTACTCCACCACGCCAATCAGGGAGGACGCCATCACATCGGTTATGCAAGAAGCGGCCAAACAAACTTTCCACAACGCAATAAGAAAACAACGCAAGCCGTGGATTTCGGAACACACGCTGGAGTTGCTACGACTGGCGCGTAAAGCAGAAGCCGATGGCGATCTCGACGCCAAACACAAACGTAATGTTGCGAAAAGGGCAGCTCGCAAGGATAGAGTGAACTGGGTCCATACACAACTGTTGGAGGACCCAAGCGCAGAACACAGCGCCGTATGGAATGCAGTCAAAAGGCAAAAGAT